CGGCCGCCGCGAGGATGCCGCCGTGACGGGACGGCAGCTACGATTATTATCTATCTCTCTATTCTTCTGCGCACGTCGTGCAGCGCCGACGACCATGCGACGCGGCAGCGGCGGCGTGAATGACAGACGATCGAACGACGAGCGGATGATGATGATGATGATGATGATGATGATGATGATGCTTATGGCGGATTATGCCCCGCTTCACGGCACGACGACGACGTTGTTGTTTTTGTTGTTATGTCTACTGCCTGCTGCGCTGCTGCTCCCGACGCCCGCCTCCCGGGCGTTGCTGGCTACTGACCTACTGCTACTCGATTGCTTCTGACGCTGTCGTCGTCGTTGCTCTGCTGCTCCTGCTGCTGCTGCTCGCGGTCTGCTGCTGCTGGCTGCTGGCTGCTATCTAACTACTGGCTACTACTGGCTGGGGTCTGACGTCTGTCGATCGTCGGTCGCTGCTAAGCTGCTGGCCTGCTTGCTAGCTGCTGATGATGATGATGATAATAATGATAATGTCGATGATAACGATGGTCATGATCACAGAGACAACTGCGAGAGTAGAGTAGTTCGCTGTTTCACTGCACTTACTTCGTCAACAAATTTGAAACAATTTAATTAAATTTTAATTAACGACTTAATTAAATTTGTTAACGATTTACTATGACAATTATATTAACGATTTCATTAACAACGTATTTAAAAATTGTAATATCAGTTAGAAATTACAACTGCTAACGAAGTGAAGAGACAGGGTACCAATCCACTGCAAGAGCAGATTCCCTCTACGCTCCAAGGCCGCCGGACTACTGTCTGAAAGTCCTACATGTTTGCAGACCGAATCTACATACTGGCGGTAGGAGAGTTGTGAGATGGATTCGTTGAGCAGCTACTGGGTGCTCACTCATCTGGGCAAACTAAACACTCCCGCTACCCCCGCAACTAAAAAGAGGCTATTGCGTGTTCCGCCCGAACATGGCGCTGTGCACCAGGCACTAGAAACGTTTCAATCAAAATACTACATGCTACAATAAAACGAAAAATCTATTTTACTACACACAAGTCTTAGTGTTTCTATAATGCTCTTTTAAACCCCTATTATTAGCCGGACAATTTCGCTGTAATGCCGTCCAAATGCTTCGATCTACAAAAACAGCTGGCTGCGCCAAGCGACATTGCTACGGCGCGTTGCAGTGCTGGCACACTGACACGTTCCGATCGGAGTCAGTGCTCTCGGCACTCATATATCATAGCGTCAATATATATATCTACAGTGTCACTCAGATACATTTGGAACGGCATTTACAGGCAAATTGTCGGCAAATAATAGGTGAACGAGGGGGTATAGAAACACAAAGACTTTGGTCAGTAGATAGATTTCGTATTTATTAGCCATTATATTTTATTCCAAGACTCTACACAGTGCCTGTGGGAACTTGTGCGCTGTGCGACGGTTATGCAACCCCGCGGTCACTGAAATTGCTTACCTAGATTCTCTCAATGGCGAAACTAATTACCTTGGATAACGGGGGACGGAATCGGGGTCATCTGCTGCTAAGAATGCATCAAAATTTAAACGTATAATTACGTTTGGGGTGATCATGAATTCTTGCTGTTGCTACGTTGTTGTCGACAAGCGAGGGATGCACGCACTGAGCGTGATGAGATGGCGCGGGTGAAGGCGAGACCTTAACAGTTACATCAGATAGTGCGCGCGTGCGTGCGTGCGTGTACGTGCGTGCGTGCGTGTGCGTGCGTGTTTATTAGGCTTGTGTTCGCGTCGTTTACTCTGGGAAATCAGGGTGAGGCGCCACGTGATCGTAATCATATATTCTTTACCTGAATTCCCTTTCAAATATTCCAACTCGATCCATTCATTTGCATTCTCTATCTTCAATATCGCAAGAATTGGTATTATTCAAGATCGCAATGGAATCGAATGGTCAAAGGGGGACAAAAGGGGTGCACTACGGTTGCTCCCTGACGACAGCAACAACGACCAGGCTGCAATCAACTCGTCGCAATTTTCATCCCCCTCCCCCCATCCCCTAATTCCCTCTCTCCGCCTCGTACCGCTGATTAAGGCGACACTTCAAAGGTCTCCCGCTTGCCGTAACCCTAATGACACATCGAAACTTTAATACTAACATGACGCGAGCACTCTCTGCGAAGTGAACGCTACGAATATACTACGTAATTAAAATGTGTCGATTTTTTTGCTGCTTTATAATTTTTTTTATAAACCCTTGGTTATTTTACGACGCGTGCTCGAAAAATGTCCGTGCTCGGTGAATGCCAGACGACGTCATGAAGGAATACGACATCCTTGTTCAACATTACAATTTATAGATAAGTCTATTGTATACGTTCAGCAAAACGGAATTAATTCTGCTCTACGCACCTAACCTACGCCTGTCAGGTTACCTTATTAACTAGAAATCACATCGGCTAGCACGACAACAGATCAAGATATGAAATCCACTCCATACCATGCGCGTGCTCTCCATCTTAACTACGATCTGGTTCACCGAAATCGTTTTCGGATTTGGTTCATCGAAACCGTTTTCGAATCTCGTTAACATCTAATCCGTGGTGAAACGCATAGTAGCGTATAAAGCATATAGCGTTAAAACCTCTCCCACTGCTGGACCGACCTAGTTGCCCCCGCCCCTGCTGGGTCGGCGTGCAGCAGTAAACATCTCCCACCACTACTACCCTCGATACGAAAAGAAATACAACCAAACACGCCATAACACGTTAGCGTTACTATAGCGACGATGGGTATAAAAGTTTTGGCTAGTTTCGGGGTATGGTCTTTACTACTTTCTGAATAAATTCAAACTATTGGTTTTCACTACTTTTTGAATAAATTCAAACTATTGGTTTTCACTACTTTTTGAATAAATTCAAACTATTGGTTTTCACTACTTATTGAATCAATTCAAACTATTGGTTTTCACTACTTTTTGAATAAATTCAAACTATTGGTTTTCACTACTTTTTGAATAAATTCAAACTATTGGTTTTCACTACTTTTTGAATAAATTCAAACTATTGGTTTTCACTATTTTTTGAATAAATTCTAACTACGTTCCTCACAACCTTTTCACCACATTTTTCACCATTTCACTGCTTTTTGATTGCGATGACCATTTAAGACCATGATCTATGGAATATGGTATATGATGTAAGTTCAGCAGTGACTCACACACACTACGCAACATCTGCTGCTCTGCTGATGCTAATCTACCAGCTGCCTCCGTCGCTAGGGCAACTAGAGATTCCGATACTACGTGTACGACATAACCACTTCCTCCGTACGATGAAAAATTTTACACACACCCACGCAAGCACGCAAGCACGCAAGCATGCACGCACACACACACA